TGAGGCGAAGCAGAGTCCACGGCATCGCAGGCGCACAAAAGCCCGCCTATGGACGCCCAGGACCTCGATCTTGACGATGCTTCGGGGGCTCTCCTCATGGATCCTTTGGAAGAGCTGTTTGGGATTACGAGCCGTGAAGGGAGAGGACAAGCCCAAAAGCCACACAAGCAGCGCACCCCAGTGCGAGCTTTCGCAAGCCCTCCCGCGGAACTGACACCACCGCCGCCTTCAACGCCTTCGGCATCTTCAAGGGGGACTACCTCTTCACCCCTTTCAGGTCCTGCAAAGCCGGGGAACACTTCGGTCCAGAATACGCCAGTCGAGCCAGAATGGGTCCTCCCTCAGTTGACCCGTGCCTCCAGGATTATCCGAGGACCTACACCTATTGAGGCGGGGGCTGCCCCTGCAGTGCCAGTCGCTGTTCCCTCTACTTTGCCGTGTACTACGAGTACCTTTGTGCCCTCTACTTTGCCGTGTACTATGAGTACCTTTGGACAGCAAGATGCCGACTGCGCTGGACAACAGGACCGGGCTCTAGACCACACTGAGCTGAACACAAGTACGGGGACGACCCCGGAACCCTCCGGAACCACGGCAGACGATACACAACAACCTGAAGGTGACCTCCAACCTGACGCCGACGCTGACAACGAAGTACAGAACCATCGCGACCTCCCCGGCAAAGACGTCTGTGCTACTTTGGAGCCCTTGCCGCCAGGCTGGGTTCATGGTGAAGCTTTTACAAGGGGGTTGCACCCCTGTGCTGATGTATTCGATGATACCCGTGGTGTTGACTGCGACCCTGACCAAGTTCCCGACACTGAGCCAGATCGAGACGCAGTGGCTAGTGAATACAGTGTGACAAACATCGGGGAGAACCCCAGGTGCGAGAAGGGAGAAATGTTCGACGCGATGAGTGGTCAACCAACTGGGCCAGGGGAAGATTCCCCATGCGAAAAAGGTGAAACTACGTCTCCTGCTGCAGCCGCCGATCCACACGGGGAAATTGACCCCGACGTCCCTACGAGCCCCGCTTCGGGCGAAGACGACCTCCAGAGGGATCCAGCTGAGGGTGGTGTTCCTGAACCGGCGGGGGCACCGCCGCGCCTCAATGAACACCAACGTGCGCGGTTGCACCAGCTGCTGGGCCAATGGGATGCCAATGGATGCGTCCCATACCATCTCGACGCCTACCACACCGATGAAGAGATGTGGCTGGCCTACAGGAAAGCGGTGCGCGAGCAGTACCGGGCACATAGAAAACGGAAGAGAGCCGGGGGACGTGGGAGAAGGACGAACATAGGGGGCGACCTCTGCAACCACGTTACGAGCCTCTGCACTTGGAACCACAGCAAGGTCGTCCCCCACTGCCCCGGTCGAGAGACCGCTCCCCACTGCCTAGGAGGAGGCAGTCCACTGTGGTATGACGCCAACATGGGGGAGCAGTGTTTCAGCTCCGACGAGCTTCTTCAGGCACGGGGGAAAAACCCGATAGCCAAACCTTAACCTAGGGAGAGTTTTCAGGTTTGAGCACACTGGCATGCATGTGTAGATCCATTCGCCTCCACACGTACTTTCGCTCATTTCTTTTCCTTTCTTTCAAAGGGGATCTCCCCTCTTAGGAAACTTGCTTTCCTTGTACCATAAGACGGGCCGCTAGAGCCAACCCACGCTTCAGTTGCCGTACCTCCGCCCGAGGTTTTTGTTCCAATTCGACGCCATGTGCTCCTTTTGCCCAGCCTCGACGCAAGGTTCTTTTCTTGCTCTACATAGGGGTTTGAAGAGAAGTTGGGGCGTTTATTTCCCACACTCTAGCTCCAAGATGTGCACCTTTTACCGGTACGCAAGGATGTCAGTTCAGCCTTTTGTTCCCGCTATCTTAACTGCTTGGTTTGTTTGAGCTTTGTTCCGTGACCGGAGTGCAATTTCCCTTGGGCTAGCAAGCGTTGAGCCTCGCCGAGCAATATTGCCTCTTTTGAGAGAGCCTTCTTTCCATTGCCTCCCGCACATGTCGGGGGCGCCGACTGGCGCGCGGGCAGGGGGGGGGTCCCCCCCTCCTGTCCATAACCCTGCCGAAAGAAAGATGCCCCATCCCCAAAGCAAAGCAAAGCAAAGAGAGAGTAATAACAAAATATCCTGATGAGCCGTGCACCTCAGTCTTTCATGATGCTTCCCCGAGATGAAGAACTTCTTTGAACATGCAAACGGATGTCTCTCTCATCACGGAGAGCCCTTTACCCTCCATTTTTTTGATGCAGGTCTCCATGACAGTGCTAAAGTAGACTTCTATTGCTTCCACCAGGCGACATCAACATGTCAACCCGGGGCAAACTCCCCTGTCATCAACTGTAGCCGGGACGTAAATAGTCCGATGACTCAGCATGCGGGGATGCCCTTGAGATCAGGTAGAGCTAACTTGTGCAATGGCCTGCCTTGACTGAACTACGCCCCCTGTCATACCGAGGCGTAAGGGCGCGCTCGCGCGCGGGGTGTAGGGTCGGACTACCCTGCACCTCTTACCTGGTAGAGAGAGAGAGCAAGCAAGAGAGAGAGAGCGAGAGAGAGAGAGAGAGAGAGATGGAGATGGCATCAGGGTTGAGCGGAAGGTCGAGGCAGTGAGTGCGGGGGATCAGGCTTTGTGTTCGGGATACAGGCAGGGTTAGGTAGGTGAGGTGGGGTTCAGTTGAAAACCGGACAGTGCACCCCGGAGACACCCGCCCCAATGTCGTCTTCACGAGCTGTTTGCAAACCTGCCCCCACGGGTTCGAACCACAGTTCCAACGCAAAGTTAAGCCCATCCAACACAATGGTGGATGGGGTAGCGCGACAGCGCGGGCTGCGAGGACTGCTCGTAGACCAACCCCGGAGCAAAGCAAAGCAAAGATGGAGATGGCTCGGGACGTGGTGTCACCAATCCCCTGAAAGCCCTACAAACTGTGGGGAGCCCATACGGCCACGGGGCCTAACACGCCCCTTATGCCCGAAGGAAGAAGAAGGGACGCGCTTTGAGCTCGAGTCAGGAGGACTGCTCCAGGCTCTGACCCGAAACGAATGCGAGAGAGAGAGAGAGAGAGAGAGTGTGTGTGTGACAGCCCTCATCTATTCAATGTTGTTTTGCCTCATGAATGCTTTGCGGAGGTGTCAGCCATTTTTCAGATGCTCGGGAAGCTGGCACAAAGCTCGTTTCCTCATCCAGCTAGCCAGCACGGCAGACCGGGACGGCATTCTGTGTGTGACTGACTAAGATCCCAGCGAGAAGCTGCACAAAAGCTCTTGCTAGACCCTGAGATGTCGAGGAATTTTGGCGAGATTGCCAATGTAAGCGTTTTGCATCTGGAAGGTGATTTGTGACCACAGCTTCGCCATGTCAGAGGCGGCGAACAAAGAACAGCATGGAATTGTAACTCAGGGTGCTCAACGCGCAAGGAGTCCAACCGAAGAGCCAGGGCAGACGAGGAAACACCGCGTGTTGTCCATTCTGAGAAGAAGCCTAAACTCAGATTGTTGGGAGCTGCAATACTTGCAGCTTTCTCCCGCATCTTTCTCTGTGCTTTTGCGTGCGCAGGAAGGCGATGGACTGCCGCCAGGGCTGAGTGCAGTTCCTTCGTGGCAGTTATATTGCCGGCAGCAGAAGATCCGTTGAACAAGATCCGATCGAAGTTCCGCCTCGTGTTCTCTCGCCACGAGAGCCGAGGCCTTGCCGCCGGAATGGCATGCGCGACCGTTCTGCGTACTCCCACAGGGCATCCCCGCCGCCCACCCAGCTTCCCGATCGGCCGCCCGAGCGAAGTCTCGTGGCGCCTCGCAGGTGATCTGGCTGGAGCGCCAGGATGCCGAGCTTGTCCGGCGAAAGCCGGCGCCGATCGTGCGCGGGGCTAAGAACGGCGAGGTCGCCAAGTGGTCTTCGACTTCGATGCTGCTGTCGACTTCTCTGTCCCTGGGCGCGTAGGCCGCGAGCTCCGATGCCGCCAATGGGAGTCAGCCTCAGTTGCAACCCTGAGCAGCCACGTGACGTGTAATGCGACCATTTCCTCCACCTGCCATCTGCGAGCTTTCTAGAGGCTGGGCGACTCGATAATCGGTAATCCAGGGCAGAGCTGTGCCAGTGCCGTTCTCGATGAGGTGCATCATCCTCCAGATGTGGTTGTGGAGGGCACATGCAGAGGCAGCGTGTAGAGCTGGCAAGATGCCCATGTCCGGTGATGCTCTCTTTGCAGCCCTCTTCTTGGCCAACGAGTTGAGAGCAAAGAATGGTTCGCAAACAATGCCAAGTTGAAGGAGGCCGCGCGCAAGCGGAAGTTGCGAGGTTCATGTTTCTGCAGAGGGGGGGGAACATGTTCTGTAAGATGCGCTGCTTGGATCGAGCGGCGCTTGTTTTCCTTTTACTCCTCCTCGCGCGCAAGCGCCTTTGCCCATGGGAGTTTGTCCCTGCTCGTGCAAGCCAAGTATCGGAGCAAGCTTTGACTTGCTGTCGCCTTCCCAGGTAAAGTCAGCTCCTGAGTCTGCACGTGCCAGGTCGCAGCGCTTTGCAGAAGCTTTGAGTCGCTAAGGCAGCGTTTCATCCAGGAGCCCAGGCAGCTGCCGTATTCTCGCCATGCTAGTGATGGCAAGGATGTCTGGGATGCTTTGACTCTGATGGACGCAGCTCTTGACAGCACTGGCCGCATCATTCTGCTGTACTCGGGCTACGAGATCGACCCAGGTCAGAAAGATCACGAGTACCAGGCCGGCTGGAACCGGGAACACGTGTGGCCAAAGAGCCACGCTGCACTGTCCACCTCGAAACCAGGGCCCGGGACGGATATTCACAACCTTCATGCTGCTGACATCAGCGTGAATGCCCACAGGGGCAACAAGGACTTCGATGAGCTTGTGGAGGGCCAGCCGGGAGTCCATGTCGTTACTGATTCAAGCCCACCGCAGGGATACTCTGGCATGGCACGTCTTTGCCTGGTGTCTGACACCACATGGGAGCCGCCGGATGCCGCCAAGGGCGCGGTGCCGGAACACAAAATGTATGTTTTGATATTCTGCTCCTCTTGTCTTATCATTAACATTCATCAGCGATCCCCGCCAAAGGACTGAATATTGCTTTCGCAAAGGGCTGCGGCTACGTGATCTGCAGAATAGTGTGTTAGAACGAAGTTGAACGAAGCGCTGATGAATGCTACATGATAATGATGGACCCGAATATTAATGGTGTCTGCAGGACCTAAGCTTTTTGTTTCGAAAGGTCTTTCAATATCATGGGCAAGCTATCGGTCTTACCTCTAATCTAAGGTGTGATTTCAAATGCCTTTACATGGTGCTCTGCTTCTAGAACTTGTTCTTTCATGCAATTGCAGGAGATAGCACCACGAGCTACGGCCCGCTGGAGTGTGCATGAGTCAGCCAAGGTGGCCAGGTCCTTGATGTATATGGCTTGCACGTATGCCGACCGGGGCTTGAAGCTTGTGAGCGGCAAGACGCAGAATCACAGCATGCAACTAGGAAACCTAGAGGCGATTTTGCGCTGGGCGAAGAAGTTTCCGCCAAGCGAACGAGAAAGGAAGCGAAACGAAGTCGGGCAAAGCCTGCAATGCAATCGCAACCCGTTTATAGATGACCCTGATCTCTTTGAACGAGTGCTGTGGTCATGATTTGGTGATCTTGTGGGCCGGCCCGGCGACTTCGAAGCTGTCGAGACGTCGCAAAAGGTTCGCGCGGGAAGCTCCGGGGCTCTGGAAGTCCGTATCGACGTCACATTTCAAAGAGCTTGCTAAAAGAGACAGCCGCAAGGTGCAATAGATGTAAGAAATGTGAGACGTCGTTTCGGATGCGTATCCTCAAAAACCATGGTGTTGCAACATGAACATTGCAGGCATTGCTCAGAGTGGTCCTCGAAGTTTGAAGCAGTTTTCAGAACCTGATCTTGCAGCCGATCAGAATTTGTCTTTGCCGACACCCATCCTTCACTCGCCTTTGAAATTGTTGGAGAACCGTCGTACAGCTTGACGATCTACTGGTATAAGTGAGGGGGTTTGGCTCAGCCCTTGTGGGTGTTAGGCGCTAGGTGTCGGATTGACTGGCAGCGTGTTTGTAGTAATCGCTGGCATATACGTTCGTGCGTGAACAGTGCGAGAAGACGCAGCAGGCACTGCAGTCTCACAACAGCGTCAAACAGATGGAGGCAAACCATGTGCGAAACTGAGGCTGCAGAGTTTTTCAGGGGGTAGAAGCAGAGGGCTGTTTGTTCCACCGGGTGAGGTCTTGCGGGAGGCCAGGGCTTGGTCTGACAGCGTGGCCCTCGGCATGAGATGCGACCCGCAGAATCTCCCCGAGTCTCCGAGCCGAGGCGTGTCGCTTTCCCAGTTCCTCTCGGGCGGCTCCTCGAAGGCCGCACGTCCGAGAACCTCCTGGTCTGCAATTAATGCACTCTCTGTCCTTGGCAGGTGTCCTACTCGGAGCCGTCACAATGCTCAACAGAAGGCGCCGAAACCGGGATGCTCAGGATGACCCTTGAGAGCTCTGCATGGAGGTGTTGAAGCCCTGCAGGTTTGAATGCTGCCTATTGCAATCCGAAGTCGCGTGCAGCCCAGTTCTTTTATTTGCGGTTGAGCCATGGCAGGTGCAGGGGACTGCATGAGAGTCTGCCAAACTGGACCGAGTTTTCGAACGACGCTTCCTGCTCCCAGCAGTGCGCGAGAACACAGGCGAGCGATCATGTAACGGTTTGATTGTCCGATGTGAGTTTCGGGGAGCGGGCGACCATCAAGGCATAGCTCAGCAAGCAGCAGGCAAGATTCCACGAACAACACCCCACATTCAACCAACAATGAAGTAAATGTACATGAGACGGTCATAGATATGTCATAGATTCATAGATCGAACGCATCTTAGCCCCGGTCAGCTTGGCTTGGAGAAGGTCAATGGGTCGCGGTGATTCAGGCTATTCTGTTGGCTTGGTGTGGGTCAGGTCAACTCAGCTTGATGAGGCTTTACGTTCAATGAAGTCAGGGCAGGGCACCCGCCGGGTGAGCTGGGTTAGGTTAGCTAAGTCCCGGTCCCGTTGCCTGGCCCAGCCTAAGTAACCTTGTAAGCAACATCGGTATCAGAGTAGTGAAAGTGTGGGCAATGGACCGAGGGAAAAACGTTTGCAAGCAGCGAAAGCACCGGATGCCTAAAGGAGTTCTGTTTCCATCTGGGATCTAGGGGGAGTGTACTGCTTGTAGTATACTTTAGGAAGCACCCCCCCCCCCCCCCCCCCTCCCCTTCTAACCTCATGTTCTCGCTGACCAGCGTTCTGAACCGAGGCAACGCAAGCAACACTTAGCTGCACCCAACCTAACCTCACCCAACCTAAAGTGAACCGGCTTGAGTTACAGCAGCACACATCATTTGAGCGTTGTGGCTTGTTGATTCCGGCTTTGGTATGCTTTGGTTTCGATCTTGGGGCAGCCGTTACATTGATGCAATGGCAGGTCGTGCGAAAAACGCAGGTCCAAGAAGAGCATCTCGGAAAGCTCAGGCTGCATGCTGAGCCAGCAATGTTGTCAGACATCTGCAGATCCAGAGTCTGCTGGCTTCGTGGCAGATGCTGTCCAAGCTACCACTGATCATGCCCAGGTCGTGGAAAGGGCAGCCACAGTGTGTGGATCTTGGGAACCGTCGCGGACGAAGTAGCTCATGTAGTTGCTAGTGGCCTCAAGTCATGAAGAAACCCATAAGAGACCCCATAAGCCTTAGCTTTGAGCCTTAACTTAGTCTCCCACGGGGTGTTCTCATTCTTGCTGCATCTCCAGCCTCAACAACCCTGGTTACTGTACTAGTAGCGCAAGGCACGGCAGCCCACAATTGCAGAGCGTCACGCCTCGCCTCCACACTGGTCCCCGTCTGAGTGTTGCAGAAAACTTCGGTGACTGTTCATGAGACTGACATTAGTTAAACCTGCAGTGAAAGTGTTTGGCAGTGAAGAGGAGTTTGGCGGTCGCGGTGCGAGGTACAGCTGCAACCGCGCGGTGTACGGTATGTAGGGCTCAGTGAGGTGTGCTCACAGCTTGTACATAGTGAGATCGCACTCAGAAGCTCGTCTGTCCCAAAATGGTGCAGATGCATTGACCACGAGGGGGAAAGCCCAGCTGCAGACTGCAAAGCAGTCCGCTGGTTGGGTTGAGTACGGAGAAAGCGTTTGCGAAAAGGACCTGGGAAGTCGTTGCTTGACAGAGTTCAGCTTGACTGATAAACCGATCAACCTGAACTTCAGACGACCTGCTTGTAGCGCAAATTCTGCCATTCGTGCAGCTCGATGCGCTTTCTTGCCTTTTGCACCTGCATCACCAGTGACCGCCCACGGAAGCTAGATGCGCCGTAATGTTGTCAAAGGCCCCCTGAATGTCGTACTGAAGTATAGCAGCAGCGACTTTTCAACGCTTCCTTTGCAGGGAGCTTACGTGTTGTGACTTCCCTGGCTCCAGCTGTTCACCTGGGAAGTTTCGAGGCAGAGAATCCCGTGTCATGTTCGGTTCCCCTGCAAGCAACATCGCCGCGGCAAGCTAAAGCCGGAAGTTTGTCCAGGCGTCACGATGCTTGGACCTGCACGTTTGTAAATGCAGCTGCGTTACTTATGCAGGGGCATGCGGGTATATCCAGATTCAGGTAGCTGCGCCACGCTTCGCAAACGACTTCGAAACACGGCAGGGTTGCTTCAACAGGCGCTTAACGCTTACCTATCTGGCACTCCATGCCATAGAACATGTTCCTCTCAGCTGTCCGCCCTTTGCCGAGATGTCGGAGGGGTGCTGTCTTGCTCCACTCTTCTCGGCTCTGCTGCCGTTACAGCGGCTTGTCGCTTTGCCGGTCCCGAGCGCACTAAAAACCTGGGAGAAGGAGGAGGCCCTTGACGAAGCCGGGCGAGTGCGGAAGTGGAGCTCTGCGTTGTCGGAGTGCCCTGAGAGCCTTGTAAGCCTCTGCAAGGATCAGCCGGGGTTGTTCAAGGAGTTGGTAGAAGCAGGTGTTCCTTCCGACCTGCGTTGGGAGGTTTGGAAGGCAGCTTTGGGAGGTCTCCGCTGCGGCCAAGGCGGCCAATACCAAGAGCTTCTGCAAAGGCACAGCGGCTGGGAGCCTCTCATCGAGAAGGACTCAGCTAGGACCTTCCTAGTGCTGTCCGTTGACGACATGGGCATGCATGCGCACTGCCTGCAGAATATTTGCAAAGCCTACGCGAACCTGAACCCCGAAATTGGATATTGTCAGGGCATGAACTTCATCGTCGGCTTGTTGCTGTTGGTCTCGGATGGCGCAGAGGAGGAGACATTTTGGGTGTTCGCGGCTCTGATGCACGATCTGGAGCTTTCTGGGCTTTATGCGGGAGGATTCCCGCTGCTGAGACGGTACATGGATGGATTCGGTCAGCTTATAGCGGCTGTCCTTCCTCGACATTCACTCCGATTGCAAGCCGAGGACATCCACCTCGAAGAGTTCTTGCAGTCTTGGTACTTGTCTCTCTTTGTCACATGCTTGCCGAAGGCAGCCGTCGTCGAGGTTTGGGATGAAATCATCTGCCTGAGTGGTCTACCCTCACTGGTCCCCCTCTCTGTGGCGCTCCTTGAGTGTGTTCCGATCGACTCCCAGATGCGTGTGAAGCTCAAGTCTCTGAATGAAGTCGTCGCAAGTAAAGCTTGCGCCATCGCACAGTTCCTGCGCAGGCCGACTTTCGATTGATTCTATGCGGTTTGTTCGTGCCCATCTTGTATACAGCTCAGTAGTAAAAACCCCAAGACCTATTCGAGCAATCGCATGGTATCAGTCCCAGAAAACCCGAGGAGCTTGACTGTGGGAACGCTCGAATTGTCAACCCGAGATGCTGAAGTCTCACGGATGCAGGCCTCCCCCGAAGCCCCTCAGAGTATTTGGGATGTAAGTAAGCATTCCACTGCGTTAGCCGTCATGAGAGGCGCTGCCGGGAGATGATGGGACAGAGCCAGGAACTGCTCAGCCGAAGTCGGCCGACAGTGGAGTCGGAAAAACGAAAGCTGAGTGCAGATGAGCACTGAGCCCGCTGCCAGGGACCGTACACTTTTAATCTGGGTTGAGCCGCTTTTGCTGCACGAAGCTGTAACTCAGCTGCTAGATGGGACCATCCGCTCCGTTGCTGTAATGGCTTCAGCATTACCCATGGTGTCTTAACCGGTCCTTCGAGGACAAAGGTAGTTTTGGATGGCGTCCCAGCGCCGCAGCACCAACAGACTCTTGGCTAGACTCTACGCGTCAGTGAGTCTGCGACGTCTTGTGCTCCGTTTCCCATCGCATGCTTGACAACCAGGAGCGCGATGGTTGTCTTGCAGTCTCGTTGGCGTGGCAGTTTGCAGCTTGGCTGGCTCACCAAGGACCGCCTTCTAACCTCTCCGAAGCATGCATTTGCAATTTTTGGCAGGATCTGGGAGACCTCCCGAGCCTTGGCCACAGCTGCAGCTGCCCCTGCAGCAGAGGCCGGCGATTGCCCGCTCGTCACTTCTCTGTTTCGGCTGGTTTCGTGAAGGCGACCGAGACTAGCTGTCAGCAGCTGCAGAAAGAGCAGCTGGAAGCTGTTCAGTCACGCTGCTCAAATTAGCCTTGGACACTCTTCAATCGTTTTCCTGTGAAGATCCACAGTGCGAGCTCCACAGCAGCTGAGGTCACGGATATCTGGTTGGGAGAAGGCCCTGTCGGCTGTGCTCACAGGAATGTGCGCCAGTTGCGAATCCCATTGTCCAGGCATCTGCCGAAGGTCGCTCTGTACTGAGGTACGGCAAGCAGGCCTGCTGCTTCGTGATTTGCTCAAGCTTCCGAGAAGTATCAGATCTTGCCACCCCAGGCTTCGGCACTGCTGAACCGGACCCTGAGCAGCGGCTCAGCAGCGAATCGTTCGGTTTTCGCGCATGGATTCAAATTCAAACTGTCGGTTCGCTTGGGTCACTCCTTCGGTAACTTCGGCCGCCCGTCACACCTGGATAAGAGATGTCGACGCATCCAGAGAAGACTCCGTAGCGGGGTCTATCCGCGACCGTGGTCGTAGTTTCTGTTTTGCAGCTCAGGCTTTGACGTGGCGGTCAGGTGCCAGCCATGATACTGCAAGTTCAGCAGAAGCACCATTGTCGATATTCGAGTTGACATGATCCGGTGCAGTTGCTTGAGTATGGACTCGGGTCATGGATTCTGGGTTATGTTGTTCATGCTGCAATGAGGTTTGCTCAAGTTCGGGGCAGCGGGGCATTGTGCATGAGATAAGGATGGCCCGCCATTGCTCAGAGAAGGCAACTGCCCCGCACTAATCCTCCGAAGCCTTACCAGCAGGATGCAGAAGGCACAGCCACATAATCCCAATCCCAACCGTAGCGAGCGCACGGCCAGTCCCCCACCCATTCCCAGACCCATTCCCTCTTTCCCTGGGTTGCAATGCTCTCACCCTGGTGCTGTCGCCTCATGGCGAGAGCAGCTCTATAGAGACGTCGAGGGCCTCAGCACAGGAAAGCGTCTGCTTCGAGAGAATCGGACCGTTCTTTCCGCCTTTGCCGAGGTGGGCGGACGTTTGGCATGGGCCAGGCTGCGCCTTGTTGTGGCCTCGTCACTTTGGTTCATGTCGAAAGCTGCAGGGCCTCACACTTGCCTGCGAACCGTGTTATTGTGGTGTTCTGGCCGGAACCTCACTTCACCAGATTTGTGCCAAGCATCCTGTGTCCGTGTGTGTCTTGATGACCTGTCATAGCTTCCCTCCCCCGGGGTTAGTTTGGTGGAGAAGAGTGAGACTGCTCGAGGCTTTACCTTCTGGTGGCAACATGCTACCGGGTTCATACCCTGATAGCTACGAGCTCAGCCAGAATGTGTGAAGTTGGGGTTAGCGTGTGTGCTCTGGCATTTTCTCCTGCGCCGCTGCCCGATTCCGATAGGTTGGCTTCAGAGCGACGGAACACATGAAGACAAGCCCCCAAAGACTTGTGGGCTTAGCATCAGAGCGACAGAACACATGAAGACAAACCCTAAAGACTTGTGGGCTTAGCATGTTCAGCAGGCTCAGGCCACAGATGTCCGCGACCGGGGTACAGGATTATCACTCGACGAAGTGCTCCAGCGAAGCACACAGCCAGACATGGAGCCCGAGCCCATGGAGGGCCAAGAGAAGCGCGCGAGCGGCGTCGAGGCCGATGCTTTTGCTGTTTTGATTGGCGGTTGGACTTAGAAGGCCGAGCTGATTGCTTCACAGGCTGAGCTCCAGGCCGTCCGGCAGGGAGTGCAAGATCTTGCCGAGCACTTGCGAGGGGAGCAGCAGAAAGCGTTCCTCGAAGGCATCAAAGCAAGAGCCAGGGATTCCAGGCCAAAGCACCCGGTAGTTTCATGCTTGCCCAAACGCGCCATTGCCATGTGTTGCGTAGCACTTACTGTGTAGCGTACAGCAGCAGTCAGCATTCCGGCTTCCCGAGGAGAATCTAGAAGCGCATGCTTGATGTGCGGGACCGAAAAGCACGTGTACACGAACTATTGTTGTAATTGAAGCCTACCCCTGTTGCCGGAAAAGGTTTACGATGGTTTACGTGTTGGGCGCTACTTCGGGCTCCTATAGTGGTGCCGAGCACCATAAGAAACAGCTGCCACGACAAGACGGACATGCATCGACAGATCTTGCAAAATGTTGAAAATGTTCCCTTTCCTGGGAACTGCTAGACCTTTTGTTGGCCTCAACCTTTTTGACTTTCCATGCCATGTCCCTTCCGAGGTTCTGCTGCATTGAGCAGCAGATTTCGGAGCTTCGTGCTTTGATCGATGCTCGACCTCGGCTCGACGCCGAGGCTCGGGCTCGTGCTTTGTGGCCCTTTTTTCAAGGGCAGTTATGAGGCAAAGGGAGGGTGTGGCGCAGCCTTGGCTATGGCAGATGGACCTGTAGCCGTATCATCACATGATTTTGTTGTTCCGGGCTTTGTTTTGGGCGAAGCTGTGCTGCTTCTGTGTGCTGAAGATTGCCTTCAAGAGGAACGGCTATTGAAAAGGTCCAGTTTCAGGCAGTATGTTGAATATTCTGAAGCGAAAGTCGTACAGCTAGATCAGGAGGTTGAATCCTAGACAACGTACAGGCGTGCACCCAGATCAGAAATAGAAGGATCTCTGCCACTCTTTATGCCAGTCGCTAAGGCAGATCCGGATGCGGAAACAATCCGCGGAACAAACATGCCAGCGTGCGACCAACAGCAGTCACTATGCACCCAGGACATTGGTGTCTGTGAATGCAAGGCAGCGGCCACGCTCTCTTCAGCCCCGACACGGCCTGCCGAACCTGCAGAGTACCAGACCATGTCGCTGGAAGATGAGGTCGGACTCGCAGCATGTCTTGCTTTAAACACTTGGCTGCCATCGACTCAGTTTGGACTGCGAGCATTGCACTCACATTGGTCTGTTTTGTCATCCGGGGCCTGGGGGCCCTGAAGCAGGGTGAACAGCTCAGCCTGCTCTATCACTCTCAAAGTGCAGAAGTGCAGGTGCGCGTGCTGCGTGTCGAGATGGATGCCGTGAACCTCAAGATGAAGTCGCAAGAGACTATATGCCCCATGGTTGAAATTTGAGGGGTCTCGGCAGTTCTTGCATTTCCTCGCATTCTTCGTGGCAGATTTGAGCGGCCGATCTCAGGTACCAGCCAAGACCCAATCACACCCCCGTGCCTCGGAAGCTGTACGTACTAGTATCTACAATGGCTGTGATAGAGTATCGATGCAGACGGGGCTTTGGGTTTAGTCCCAGCTTCGAGGTGCTCCGAGGTGTCCACCTCCCGCGAAGTTTCTGTGTCTCGCCTCGCAACTCGCAACGACATGCCAGGCAGAACTCTCAAAGCCTTATTTGCCCGAAAGCTAGACTTCTTTTGAGCTGATACTTGGGTACCATAGGCCAAAAGCAAAACTGTGCCCCGACATCGCCTCGTTTGCTCGGCCTCACGTGAACTCTCGTGCCAAGGAGATCCAGACTCAAATAGTGGAGGTGGTGCGGCGCGAACAAGAGGCCGCCTCTGTGTGCGAGAGTTTGATCTCAAGATCAGTGAGGCTGCCCAACCCTTGTAAAGGCTTTCCGGGACCGCTACTTGCTGGAGGCATCGAACTGCGCCGAGAGTGCCCGGACCAGAGCTTGATGTTGCTGTTTCACGCTGTTGGCTCTCTTGAAGCCCTTCGGATACCATCTTCAGGTCAAGAACCTGGAGTTTCCGTCTCAGCAGAGACACCGCGTCCTCGATGAGTGCACAGGTGGTGATGAGAAATGCCAGGCTGACCATGGGCCATGTGTCGCGAGAGCTGAACAAGCTGCTGCAGAAAGTGGGCGAGGAGGCTGCTAATGGTGCAGAGAGCATAGTGGCATAGTGATGCTTTTGAGCAGATGGTCTCTGTATGTATGTATGTATGTATGTATGTATGTATGTATGTATGTATATATATATATATATGTATTGTATGTATATATATATATATATGTGCGCGCGAGTCTGTGTGTGTGTGTGTGCGTGCATATATAAGGCAGAGGCTTCTCCGAACAGAGCCGTGACCTTCGATGGCGCCAGCGACCCACTGGATTGCAACCTGTTACATCGATTCGGTTGCATAAGGCGTGCCTTCCAGGTTCTGTGCAACTCAAGCAAGACGACCCTTCAGGGAGCCAGCTTCGAGGACCTCCGATAGCAGTACCTACAATTACACTGTCAAGGTGTCAAGGATAATGGTCACAGTCGCTTGCAAGCTAGTCGTCTTTGGAGGGTCGGGATGATGTTTCTCCAAGCAATTCTCCTGGAAGAGAGCCGCCATCCTCAGACACCTTCTTTGAAAGTGACGGTGTCCAGCGGCTGCGCTTGCTATGTGAAGTCAAGGTCAAGTGTCACAGCCATACAAGGCCAGCCGGCAAGAGCGGGGAGACGCCATCACATATAGGATGCTGCACATGCGCTGCTCGTCCAGCTAGGCCTGGAGAGTGCTGCAACCTGCTCCCCAATGGAGCCCACGGGAGGCCAGGTCAGGAGCTTCATGGCCTCTCAGTGGCCTCGCAGACTCGCAGGCTTGGTGCAGTGGTCAAGACCCTCTCAGGGACCTTACACGCAGCCTGGAGCCGAATCCCTGACCCTCAACTCAAAACTCCTTTCTGCGCTTGCACATCCTCAGGCAGCCCGTGAATGTCCATCAGGCCATGGGCATGGGCCGATCAAGTAGGTTTTCATTGTGGATGCATAGGATGCAATGGTACGATCTGTCCGCAAGGGGTTCTGATAGACCGATGCCGTTCCCTGTAGGAGGTAACCAGATGCGGGCCACCCGTGCCGCTGCCCCAGCACCTCGCCTTGATGGCTGACTGGCTTTGCCAAACCTAGCTGCCGTATCTGGGAGTCCAAGAAGATGCTGCAGGAGCTTCACAACCTTGCTTATACAGCCCCCTTCACTCCAAAAGGCCGACGACGCTGTAGAGGGCCTTGATCTTGAGCCCCCAATTCCTGATGTCTTCGACCGATCAACACGTGTGAAAGGCGGCTTGTTGCGGTTTTCGCGGTCCGTTGTGGTCCGTGAAATGACTAAGCGGAGGATTGTGGAGAGCAAGGTTCGTTTCCGTTCTTTGGCATTGTACAATGACTCTGTGTCTTGCGTTGAAAGCCTGAGAAAAAGGTATAACAACGCACAGCCCGCGAACGTATGGCTTCTTGGCTTTAAGTCCGAATTGCGCGTTTTCGGAATTGCCAAAGCATTGTTGTGTAGACGCCTGGTGTCCCTGTTTCAGGCGACGGAGCCTTGGGAACCCCTCGGCGCCTGCACACACGCCTCCGCCGCCCTCGGCGCCGATGTATTTACGATCCCGCAGCCAAGACGGACCAACACCGCCTGCACAGGAGAGTCACGATTGATTCCGATTGATTGGGGAATCGGGGCACATCGAAATCACTCCGCGGCAACATTACAGGCGATTCAAAGACCATCAGTTCGTACAGGTGTCTAGGTTGTCAAACTAGTATGCCGCCGAGCAGGACAGAGTCGTGATAGCCACCAAGATGGCCTCGTCGGCGCAGGGCTGAGCGAGATTCGTGCGTCAGTGTTGCTCAGTACATGGCTTTCCCAAGATCTCACGGTTTCGAAGTCTGCAGGGCCAGGAGCAGACGACTACACCGATCAAATCCATGCCGCGGATGGTGGCCACTCCGCAGATGGTTAAGGAGTCCCAACAGACAAATATGACATTCTGAGCTCATTTTGGCTCCTGGGTGTACGCATCACATGCCACATGCCAGGACCCCTTCAGGGAGGCTCGGGATGTCAAGGTGCCGAGCAGAGCCACCATTGCCGTACCGTTTGCCCGTGATTGGAAGGGGCAGGCAGGGCTGCAATTTAAGTGTTCTCCTGATGTCACCGCCGGGGGGAGACTGAAGGTCATGCCGCCACTGAGCATGGCTATTCGATCAAGTGGGCTGCCCGCTGCACCCCAACAACTGATGAGAGTCACCCAGGCCAAGATCTGCGCTGTGCAGCACTCCGCATTATCTGCTTTGTGCACTCTGGGCGATGCCATGCTCTGCAGAACACAGCCTTTTGCAGTGGAGCTTGTGCAGTCCCGTCCCGGCACCGCTGGCAGGTACAGACACGGGTGGTGTAGCTTCGCGTTGCTCGGAGTCACATATTGTCACATCGCCTCACAGCAACTTGAAATGAAAGTGAGGTCTAGGCCCTAGGCACTGTAGGCCCAGGCCCGGGTCAACGCCTTGTGTAGACTTGCAAACCTCAGGTGTGAGGTGAGCTGAGCTGAGCGCCGTTGCCAGAGCGTACGCCGCTGTAATGGATCCTGGAGCTGGATCGCTGTACCTTTCACAATAAGAGCCATGCCAGGCTAGATGCAACAGCAGCAACCTATCTACGACTGGAGCAACAGTAATAATAGAACTCGTGTGAATGATCATCTGCATTCTGACAACTTAGACCCTGGCCCCTGCAACATCGTGTGGCTCTGTGGCCTTGCACCTGTCCAAGATGCCATGTGTGAGATGCGAGGCAAGCCAATTAGTTCGGAGCCAACTAGTGGCTCCTGCTGTGGTTCGCGCAGCAATATTTGTCGCATGTTGCATGCTGAAAGCCAGAGCTGATAGCTGAATGGCTGTCAGCTTGTCTTAAGCCGTTTCGCGGCAGGTCTGCGGAGAAGATGCCCCAGCAAAACTGCCTCCCCGGGTGCCCGGCAAACTCATGCAGACATCAAGCTCCCTCCCCAGGTGATGGTGCAGACAAGGCCACGCGCGGTGCTGCATTCGGCGTGCACTCGGAAGATCTCTGTAAAAGTAGGAAGCAGATCTTGCAGGGAGCCGGCAGCATCGCCCGCCAGGAGGAGCCCATCTCAACTCGCAAGATGGTCAAAGAAGCGGACGATAACATCTTGCAGCAGTTCGAACCACTCCCGGCTTCAGTGATGGTGATCTGACACATGGAAGTCTATTCCTGGTCCCTGTCCCGCCTTGCAGTAGACTGAGGAGCAGGCCAAAGATGATGTGAGCAACCCAGCCTCTGAGTGCCAAGAAGCTTTTCTACGACACGTAGTTTCTCAGGACCGCAACGTCCCAGCAGAGGCGCACCGCACATCAGAATGAGTCCGGTAGTCTCGTGTTTGTTGAGCACCTTCCAGGATCTTCGAATGTTTTGTGTCAGATGGTGCTGTGTGCTGTGCCATCTCACAGCTGCAGGGAACCCTAGGTTCTAGATGAGACAACACTGTGGACATTTCCCCCGAAGCCGGTCAAAACCTTCATAGATTCAGGGCCACGAGACTTCACGAATCCATGAGTCATAGGCGTCTCCAAGCCAAGAGAAAGGACGAGAGTTGGTTGGCTGTTTTCAACCTCTCCGACTCTCTGAGCATGTCAAGCCAGGCTGCGGGCCCGGACGTGGGCTGCGTTTCCAAATCGACAGGCACTCCGCGGCAGTTACGAACTGGCACTGTTGCGCTGTGCTTTGCTGAGTAAATTTAGGATCCCGTGTGTATGATGAGCTTCCTCCGACTCTGATCGGCTTCCTCAGTACTGTGCCGCCGGCAGGGCCGCCGTCTGTCGCGTTTTCACAGCAGTCCAGACAGTCCAGGTGCGACCGGGCTTCTTCATGTAGCTGCTGATGGTGTGTGTGTGTGAGCGTGTGCCAGAGCGAGAGGTAAGAGTCAGAGTAAGGGGATGCATGGAGGCAGAGATCAGACTCTGCAGATCTGCAACGACGCGGCTGCATGAATCCGAGAGCTTTCCCCAAAGTGGTTTCGTCCAACAGTGTGACGGCGGAATCTGAGGCTTACGGCGCTGTATTTGGTACCATTCACAGCAGCCCGACTCGGCAATCATGCTGCCGTTGGGGACCTGGCGATGTCGTCTTGTCCACCAGGCAGTTAGTTGCCTACGGTCTCGTGGCAGAATGAGGTATTGGTTGTTTGCCTACTGCTGCCAAGTGGCATGAGCCTCGGCCGGGCCTGAAACCATTGGCAAGAGCTGGACCGCACCAAAGGTGCTAACTGCGGGCGCCTTCGTGTTCTTTCTACTCCTGGGTACAATGCTCCTGTTGCAGTCGGGGTCTCTCCAAGAGGTGGAACGGGACTTCTTTGTGCTGGTGGTAGCTGTCAACCTTTAACTGCTGTAGCAGATCCAGAGCCGCGAGACACTCTTTCGCAGGTGATTGTCCCTTACACTGCAAACATGACAGAGAAGGCCGACCGCCAGCTTGCAGCGTGATGGGAAGAGCTCGTGCTCGCCTCCTCGACCTGCAGGAATTCTCGATAGAGAAAGCTTTTGAGGATGACGTCGCAGGCTCAGCAGGCTCAGGCTTCAGCCGCTTGAGTCATCGCCACGAATCCGTCGGGTCCCTGAACATCCCTTCCAGGTGCTCGTGTACTACGACTTGAGTCTCTTCGCCAACCACAAAAGGCGACGAGTTTCGCCAGCTTTCGTTCAATCGTAAAGATCCGCTGTTGTGTTAGAATTGGAGGTGAAGGTAGATTTAGACAGGGAGAGAGAGGAAGAGAGGCCCAGGTGTCAGCACAGAACACGAAGGATGTTGCAGGGGGGATCGCCGTGTGTTTAAACACTACGGGTTTTATTACAGTGTTTTGGGGGGGTTCGATCTCCTCGGCCCAGTGCACAGCCGAGCCTGACGGGGTAAAGCCCCTGACGGACACTTGAAAACCCTGCAGTGGACCGCAGGTGCGCGCAGGGGGGTGGGGGGGCAGCCTAGAGAGAGAGAGAGAGAGAGACGCCCTTGTACCCGGCAGAAAGCAAGAGATAGAGAGGGAGAGAGAGAGAGGCAGGTGCGCGCGCGCGCGGGAGGCTAGGTCTGGACGCACCTAGTCTCTCCTGCCTGGTAGAGAAAGAGAGGCAGAGAGAGAGAGAGAGCGAAACAGGTGGGGGAACTTCCCCTGCCCACAACCCTGACGAAAGAAAAAGAGAGAGAAACAATCCCTAAGGCCAACAAACTTAGTGGTGTCCACAACTGTCTGCATGTTTCTTTCAAACGATGGATACAGGCCTCGCGTTCTTGTGTTTGCTTACAGCGGGCCTTGGTATGAAAGCATGTACTTTTGCAGCCTAGGACAAAGGGGGACATGAAACCATCGTTCTCTCACACCCCTTCAACATGCCCCCCCAAAATGGGGGGCCTCCAAAGGCTAGGGGGTCTCGCACGCACCCCAAGCCCTGAGGAAGAACAAACAATCCCGTTGTTCCTAGCCCTGGCGACTGAATGTCATGCTGGAAGGGGTGGACATGCAGTGCGGTGTGTCGCATAGTAGAGCGGGACTCAGTAAGGGCGGAGTACTTGACACGCGAAGGGGCGACGTCACAACAGGTATACAGAAGCGGTTTCCGGATATATCGCTTGTTTTCTATTGACTATTGCTATAGTGTTGTCAGTCGCAGTGACGAGTCGGGGCCGCTCTACGGCTACAACTAAGCGTCCAGCCAAGCCTGGTGAAAGAAACAGACAGCAACAAACACCACATATGTGTACCAATCCATGAAGGAATCTAGATAAGTCCAGCCGAATAGCTTACCGCGAAGTGGGGGCGAAACCTACCTACACTGCAATGCGGCGGGGCACGATGCGGCGAGTTCGGACATGCGATTGTGGGTTGCTCAACGCATGGACGGGCGATTCGTACCGACTGGCATTGCAGAGACTTCAATCGGTGATGCTAGCAGTTGATCTGTCGAGAGATCTGCATCAGCAAGATTGGGAGACAGAGTCGTGCACAGAAGACAGATGTAACACATATCTTCCTCACTTCCAGCTGGTTTTGCTAAATCAAACTCTCGATGGAAGTTACGTGGAAACCCATTGAGTACACATGTTTGAAATGAGAAGCAATCATGTCGCCCTGACAGTTTCGCGGAAAGCAAAGACAGAAGGATTGCCTTGATCCCAGTGCATGGAAGTTGCTTTGGCGGAAGTCCCTGCAGCATGCTGTGATGGGGTGCCCTGGGCCAACCTCGAGGCCTACACATTCCTGTCAGCGGCAACCTGTACCCATGCGGACAGCCGCTCTTGGGTTAGGCACACCCCTTGTGCTCATGCTTCTGGACTGGACAACAGCTGCATTCTTGTTCAACTGGCAATTTTTAGAGGCTACGCCGGGGCGTCGACACCACATTCGTGACCAAGGTAGAAGGTGGCCGACTGTAGCTCCCCGTTGCTCAAGTTGTGCGCAGAACCAGTGAATCCAAACTCGAGATGTGTTTGCCCTGACAGCTGCGGATGGTGATGATCTGATTCCCTGTGGTCTCGTCTCGCTTTCCATGCTCAGCACTCAGCTTCACCTACTCTGCCGGTGCTGGATATGCATGCACTACTTGCAGCCAAGGTTCACGGACAACTTTACATTTTACCAAGATACCACCGCTGGCTGGGAAACGCTGGGATGCCAAGGGACTGCAACAACTCCGTGATGTCTGGAATCGCGACAAGGGTGGAGTCAATGTGCATACTGACATAGTGTCTCTTGTCGTATTCAGCCGCTTTTAGGCTGGAGGCCAATGAATCTGACATCGCCCTTGCATCAGACGAGGAAGCGTCGCAACCCAAGACGTGATGCGACTGCACGGTTTTCCAAGCTGCATGGAAGAGCCGCTGCTCTTGAGGTACGGGAAGATCAATTCTCCGCTTCAAGGCCCATGCGGGAAAACCTGGCGGGCGGTGTCACGAAGAGTTGATGTGTAATGTGATGTGGTTTGGGGGCTAGGGCCGTCTAGGGTGATGTATGAGCCCAGGCATGGGTCTACGGTGTAGCACTCTGTGGGTTCAGGCGAGGAGCGCTTTTACATCGAGGAGACCGGGCCCAAGCGAAGAGTGCAGTGGATTGGGAGGCCATCCAAGTTCTGAAGTCCTGACGCTTCAGATCTCATTTGCTAACGGGAGTGCAGATTTCTGAGCCCAGGTCGGACCGAAGGACTGCTGCCTTCTATGCTTCGTCTGGATTTGGTCTCAATTCAATTCCGCTTGCAGAGGCGATTTTCCAAGCGTTTCGGCAGGACACAGACCTGGCTGACCCCAAGCTTCTTTGAGCACTGGAAGGCAAGACCCTCAGGCTTTAGGTGCCGGAAACAATAGGACAAAGTCTGTATAGCGAAAATCGAAGATGAGAGG